CTTACAATTGTTAGATGAGCAAGCATTTTAAAACTAATAAGCAGAGGATAAGGGAAAGACATAATAGCTTTTTGATCAAATTGTTGAGGCCATTAAGCAGAATGAATTAATTTCCCTTTATATTTCTTAGTAATTATGATCATTGTAGCATTAAAATATAATCGCTAAGATGATTATTGCACATAAATATCCCTCGATAAAAGTCGAGCCCTTATAATTAATACTTTAATAAAATCAATACAACAACAACAAAACCTTTATCCCACTAAGTGGGGTCGGCTACATGAATCCTTTTTTCTCCATTGTGTCCTATTTAGTGTCATATTTTCGTTTAATTCTAATAAATTAAGATAATTTTTTATACAATATGCCCAAATCTTCCTAGGTCTACCTCTGCCTATCTTACCATAAACAGAATCTAAAACATCTACTCTTCTAATCGGATCATCAGATAGTCAATGTTTAATGTGCCAACCATCTAAGATGACTCTCTCTAATTTTGTCCGTCACTCAAGCTACACCAACCCTATCACAGATATATTCATTTCGCATTATTATTGCAAAATTTATATATTTACTATTAAAAAAAGAGTGCATGAAAGCTTTTGATGTTGGAAAAAAAAGGCTAAAATAATGAAATTAGTTGAGAGATAGTTGTCCTTGAAGTAGATTCTTGGTGATATTAGTTTTAATAAAATTAAGTTACTTATTTTGCTTCATCATATCACAAAAAATTTTTTAGATGCAAGTTACCCAACAACAAATAGGATTCTTTCAAATTTATTTTTAATAATAAAAATACTTTGGACAAGAAATGAATGTTTAAATTGTTTTTCTTTCTAATATGACTAACATCATGAAAGTTTAATTAGAAAGATATTGGTCTAATTGTTTGACTCTATTCCTCTTGCACGCATTTCAAAATCTTTGATAAGAACATTTAGCATCATTTACCATTACCCAAAAATTTATAATGCTGATGTTGTTACATAAAAAATGGAAATCATGAAACAAAATCTTTATGAGCTATACTTATTTTATGCTATCGACAAACATCATACTGGTGAGGATATTCTATGCTTAATGGAGTAGTTGGAGCTTTGGCTTTCTGATAAATTTAATAGAGATTTAATATCTTAAATGACATTGCATAACTCAATTTATCATCTCAATTTTTTGAAACTAATATCTTAATATTTATATGATTAACTTGTTTAAAAATTTAAATGAAATTTTTTCAAGTATGTTAATTTACAGGCTTTCTGATAACATTCAGAAGGGTAAGCTTCAAATAAGAAGCTAAAATTAGAATACATAAGTCTTAAGTTTACATAAAAGGAATGAAGGAAGCAATTTGTAAATGATTTGTGGAATGGTTTTACATAGAAATATAATGTATTGTAGATTGAGAAATATATTCTAAATTATGTAAAAGGAGGCCTCAGATGTTTTTAAATTATTTTTAAAATCCCATCAACAAGTTTTTTAAGTATATTATCATTAAATTCTAATCTTAAATTAAAAACTGTATTTATAATTAAGTTTTGAGCTTTTAAAACTTGATTTCAAACATCCAATTCAATTCAAGATGGCGCAAAATCAAATTGGATTGAGCCACAATCCAATTTAGATCCAACTCTAGATCCTTAAATCCGATTTTGAGCTGCCCTTGGCACAACTAGAAATTAGATCATTTTCGACCCTAATAACCCTGGTGTAAACCCAATGTCAATAATTCCAGTACAACAATAAACAATAAAACCCTCCCATTATCACCAAAAAACATATCAAAGTGTGTGCCGCCATAACAAAGTCATCAATAAAGACCAAGTTGGCAATGTCATGCACCATGTTAAAGGCCCTTCAACCTAGTTCTCACCATTGGTAAGTACCACAAAGACAATACCTCAAAAATGCTTGCTTTGTTAACACCCACCAACAAATTTGCCAAATTATATTTAATTAATAAATCAAGTTTTCGCATGTGTCAATTTTTTAAGGAAAAAAAAAACTATTTTCCTGTAAAAAAATTAATTGAAAATGATTGTCATTTAACAGCCAAAAAATCTCTTTTCTAACATCATGGCAACACAACAGCGATTCAAGGACGCATCTTATCTCAAAAAACCTTTGAAACTCAAGGAATAAAACCGCCTCTTATCTCAAAAAACCTTTGAAACTCAAGGAATAATGGTTGGAAAAAAATATAAACTTAACATGGGGTTCAAGTAATTTGGGTATGCTTTCTAACATCGTGAAGAATTTCATGAAATTTATCAAATAATGACAAAAATTAAAACAATCATTAGAGTTGACATTATAGGACATAAATGCCTCATATATAATTTTATTGCAGTGTTGATTTCTTAAATAAAATCTCATGATTTAACTTCTCATCTCAATTTCTTTTGTAGGCATAAGAATATAGAACTAATATCAAAATAGTATACTTAATTAGTTTTTTTTTTTTTTTTTTTAAAGGCCTTATTGAAAGAATTATATTTAATGGGTTTTTTAAATTAATAAATACATATACATACATACATAAACACATAGAAACGTATATATGAATGTATGTGTGTGTAATATACATACATACATACATACACACATAGAAACGTATATATGAATGTATGTGTGTGTGTGTGTGTATGTGTGCGTGCGCACACACTCACACACACATAAGTACATATATGTGTATGTGCGCGCACGCGCACGTGTGTGTGCATATACATATATATGGCTGCCAAAAATGCACGTTGTTCTCAAACAGCTTGTGTTCGGCTCGTTAAATAGCCCTCCTTTGATTCATTCGTTAAGCAAGCGAGCTAAATACGAATAATTTTTTTAGCTCGATTTATAAACAAGTCAAACATGAAGAAAAGTTTGCTCGTTTATGCTCTGCTCATTTTGGATTGAAATAATTAAATAATATTACTTCTTTATTTTCTTTTTATATTAATTTTTATACATATTTAAAAAATGTAAAATTTTATTATTTTTATAAATTATTTGGGTGATATAATAATAAGAATATAAGTTTAAGTATTAGGTATGCAAATAAATAGAATTTGGGTGGTATGCATGTAAATATCCTTGAAATAACAGTAGAGGCAAGTAGCTCCCCACTGGGAGAAGGAAGATAAGTAGGAATGATTGGGACTATGCTGCGTAATCTCACAAATTTAGTTTCACATCGCGGAAGGACGAGAAGTTAGGTGTGATGATGTTTTTTGAAGGCAAAACATAAGGTTTTTCAATGGAAAAATTTTTAACGGTACGGGTAAAGCATCTAAACCGTGCTCATTAAAAATAATTAACTTTTTTTTAATTTAATAGTAGTAGTTTAATTAATTGCATTCTTTATTCTCATGAGGAACTAGGGTTAAATTCAAATCGAACACGAGATTAATTCAAACAAACAAGTTTTAATCGAGTTGAACACAAATAGGTTATCCATGAGTCATTTTAACACGAGCCAAACACAACAACAACAACAACAAAGCCTTAATCCCACTACGTGGGGTTCCCAACATGAATCCTTTTTTTCCATTATGTCCTATATAGTGTCATATTTTCATTTAGTTCTAATAAATTAAGAACATTTTTTTATACATTAAGCCCAAGTTTTCCTAGGTCTACCTCTGACTTTCTTAACATAAGTCGAATCTAAAACATCTACTCTCCTAATCGGATCATCAGATGGTCGACGTTTAATGTGACCAATCCATCTAAGACGAAAAAAAAAAAAAAACACAAGCCAAACACAAAAAGCCCTGGGCTCTCTCAAGCTCACCTCATTTAAATCCATATATATATATATATATTAAAGTAAGTTTCAAGGCATTTGTGCATGATATCGAACATCAATCATAAAATTCATCTAACCATGCCTTAGAGAAAAAACAATCTATTAGAGCCAACAATATAGGGCAAATGTACTTCCGATGAAGTATCCAAAAAAAATGTAGGAGTTGTTTGGTCACAACTTGCAAGTATTTAGAATTCTTAAATGCAATGTTTGTCAAATACAACGTGTTTGGAATAATCAGGATTGTTTGGTTGATTGTAAAACAAATTTACGAAATTAATTTTTGGTATATGGCTGGAAGTAAAATAAATCTACTATTTTGTATTAATACATTGCTGCAGATTCTTATAAAATTTTTTATAACGATTCAAGGCATAAGGTGCCCTTATGAGGCCAATGTAGCATCGATGTCAAAGGGAGTGACAACACTATGGGAATGGGGTCCATGGGGAAATTGGAAGGGAGAGAGGAGAGCTGGAGGTCAAGTCCACAAGTTTACATCTACGAGTTCTTGAGTACAAAAAGGCATTGAAGTCATGAGGATGTAGGGTCAACAAGGGGATGGCAGCTTCATGAGTGGGGTGAAAGCAGGTTTGCAAGCATGATGAGGTTGCAAGGAATGATAAATTTGACTGAATTTGGAGAATTCCTAACTCATAAAGAATGAACATTTTGAGGTATTCAAAACCCGTTAGAGGAATGCTTTGTATTTTTTTCACTCTCAACGAAAAATAAAAAAAAATAAAACCTCTGCATTTGAACTACATTACACTCAAAATACCTGCAGCCAAATAACCTCTTCGAAAAAGTAAAATACACTTAGAATCATTTGTTAAACACAAATATTAGTAGAAGAATTTATATGAGTTAAAACAGTTTGGTAATCCTGGGACTTATTGGCAACAATTCTGAGATCAATAAAAAAAGGTAAGCATTGTTAAAGGCATATATGGATTCATAGTTCAGGGCAGATACTAGACCCTACTAGCCGAATTATCGCTAGACTCTTGATAATCTGTAAGTGCATTCTCCATAAAATACATCAAAAGGCAACAAGATCCAGAATCTCACCTAACAACCATGCTAATCTTTCCTCCCCCATTTCGGCCTATAAACGCCCGCTATAATCCAGATAATACATCAAGAAAAACTAAGGCCGACAGAGATACTAGAAAAAGATAGGAAGTACCTGGAGCTTCCGATCGATCTCGGTGTCTGGATCGGTCATGTTGCGCCCGTGAGAATTAAAGCTAAGTGAGGAGAAAAAAGGGACGAAGAACACGTCCGCCACCTCCCCATCGCGAACCCTAACCACCTCACTCTCCTCCGCGGCAGACTTATCATCGCCAATGAGCAGAGACGCGGTCATCCAATACTCCACGCTGTGCTGCTTTTTGATCCCCGCGCTGGGCGGCCACGGAGGGATATCCTTGCCTGTAGCGGGTGGGGGATCCGTGTCAGGTCGGTGATCCATCATGGCGAAATTGAATCGGCGGGGAAGATCGTACATGTAGACGTGGAGTGGAGGCATTCGGCGTTCATAGGTGCCGCCTAAGGCCGCGGTGGCATCGCAGGGCGCTGAGGCGCAGAGAATGGAGGAGTGGATTGGGAGGAGGGGGAGGGAGAAGTGCCGAGAGCCAAGGTCGGCGGTGGAGATGTAGATGGTGAAGAAGATGAGGAGGACGAGGAGGCCAGACAAAGATGCAACACTTCTTGTCAGGGAAGCCATATCATTCGCGCTGGCGCATTTGCTCCTTGCTCCAAATTTCTTCCCTGGGGTCCCTGCAAATCGGGAGGAAATATTACGTACGATATAGGCGTGCACGTCCTTTTTTTTATTCTTTTTTTCCTTTTTTTTCTTCTTCTTTTTTGTGCGCGCAGCAAAATACGTGTATCATATTTTTCGTAAATTGGATGCCATGTAACGTGAACGATCGCACAGCTAGACAATTGCTTGCCTCAGCAACATTTTTATCCAATTTTATCTTTTAAGATGAATCTCTGAGTCATTTATCATGAAACATGAAAAAAATTTTAAATAAAAATCATTTGGTTAATATTAATTAAACTGATTGGTTCGACGAGTGAACACAATTATACCAAAATTGGTCTAATTGAGCCCAATTAAGCCTGAATCAAGTCATTGAACCACATTTGAAACTTTTGGGTAGTTAGTTGGAATGTCAAATAAACTGCAAATTTGATGTACACATAGTCAAATTGAATGCCTCGACAAAAGGAATCTAGCAAGCCCAATATCACTCAATTATGAGATCATTAAGGCCCTCTGATAATCAAAATATCATATGATCAAAAGGACTCAATGTAAATCGTTCGATCAAGTGGTTACAATAGGTATTCACTAAAGGACCAAAATGCACCTCCCTTGTATCTTATGAACAGAACCCCTCTCTTCACTTGAAAAGGGGAGGAGAAGGGCTAAATTGCGGTTTTTTACTTGACTAAAAACTCTGTGATAACTTCCGACCTCCGTACCTGCCGACCGCCATTAACCAACACCCGTTGACTGTCGTTGATCGTTGTCGGTTGCCCCTTGCTCTTTACAATTGATGAAAGTTGTGATGTAATAAAGTACTTGAACATAGCGCAATGAATGACGCCCAACACGAAATAACAATGTACCACGAACACAGTGTATCGAAGTACCTCAAACACAATGTAACGAATTACCATGAGCAATGTACAACGATGTACCCCCAAAATGTCATATTGAAGATCTGATGATAACTCCCAACGACAATTGCTTATAACCGTAGTATTCACAATACAATGACTTTCTCTGAACTCCCAAATTTTTCTTCTTATGTCGTATACTAACAAATGATGTCTCTGGTGTAAATAAGTAAATCTGTAAGAATGGATACATCCACCAACTTATGTAACACCAACTACGACCTTGACGCCCAATTGACATTGATGTAGTTGTTCACTACGGCCTACAAGGCTAACTATTATCATTGCAGTCTTCCACTATGATTTAGGTAAACACAAACATCATCCCTTCCAACATTAAAAGCTCTGCTTGGTCTCCCGCAATAAGATATAAGTTTGATAGCTATGTTTGAATAATAACGCTGAACTTATTAGAACCTTACTTGAAAATAAACTTCAAAATAGTTATTGTCTCCCGCAATCAGATATAAGTTTGATAGCTATGTTTGAATAATAGCGCTGAACTTAGAACCTTACTTGAAAATAAACTTCAAAATAGTTTAAAAAATCTATATACATAAGAAGATATTAAATAAAAGTTCAAATTATATCTCAACTACATTTGAGCAGAAAATATGGCCTTTAAATTATGTTTGAATCTATTTTACATTCATGATTTAACCAATATTTGCATCTCTTATTATAGATTTAAACCTTATTTAAATTTAGTATAGACTTATATTTTGAACCTAAAAGTTGATCATTCTATTCAAAATAGATTTTTAAAGCTTAATTTGAAATATATTCAAATAAGGTTTGAAACAATAATATGGGGTTCAAACCATAGTCAAATCAAATTTAAATTTATGTTTTAAATAGTTTGACATAAGTAGCAAGATGTATTATACTCAGCGAGATTCTAGTATTTCTCAGGAGTTGGATCATGGGATGGCATATAAATATTCAACATGTTCTTGAAATATGCTCCAAATCAATTTAGGCTTGCATTCCGACTCATAATTGGGCAAAGTGGAAAGCTACTGTAATTGAGTTTTGACTTTTTCTCTTTGAAGGGTCATTATTCTCATAAAGTGAGTAGTTTTTTTCCCCTCTACCTCCAAGCTTAGACTATCCTTCTCCTAGGGGGTATTACCTCTCCAAGAAGGATTAGTTTTCTTAACCCCTAAGTAAGGACAAGAATTTTCTTGGCTTGGGGATGGTTTTTTCCTATAGAGTGGTCATGAGCTGATGAGCCTTGTAATTCCCACTTTTTATTTGATTTAGATGTTAAAGCATATATGGATTTATAAGTGTCGATAAGAGGATTTTGAAAACTTCCCTATATCAATAAGAATACTATTTTTTTTTCTATTACAACCTTTATTTTGTAGGGAATATTTATCATTTGATTTAAAATTAGATCGTAACGTGATCATTGGACACCCAAGCAAATGCCATTACCAGTCAAGAAAAAAAATAATAATTAGGCTTTTAAAATTATTACTCTCAGTAGTTATGTAATTTTATTGAAGGTTAACCCTCTGTTGAAGGTATAAGACATTTTGTAGAGGTTGCAGACTCCTCAAATAAAGAAATGAAAAAATATTCCTCCTTCGGTTCAAGGGTGTTGTCCTTTAATATCCCAGGATGAGATATTTTCTTAGGGTAAAGGTAAAGGTTTTGATAGAGGCGTTGCTGACTAAATCCCTCTACAAGAGAAAGGATAAGGTGTTTAGAGAAGGGAAAGTGCAAAAGAAGAGTAGTCCGTTGAGGAGGGAGAAATAACTAAAAAGTAGGACTGAAAATAGGACTCCTTTAAGATCTCATTCAAAAGACGCTAATTCTTAGGCCTCATCCAGAAAGAGGTAAGGGAGGTTCCTCTGATCAAAATAAATTTAGTGCCTCCACCAAGAGCTAGTTAGTTGAAAGACATCTTCATTGATCTAAATGAAGACATATAAGGCAAGTTGAAGGAGTTATGCTCAAAATTGTTATGAAGCAAGTCAGTCAACCACGCAAGTATGTGCATCGATCAAGTATAATATAAAAAAAATTGTGTATTGATCCTGAGAGGAAACAAGCAAACCTTTTAATTTGTGAAGAAATAGTTTGTTAAACCTTAAGCCTAGCTTGAATAATTTGCTTTACAGAAAAGGAAAGTTTTCTAAAACCTAAACTAGAAAAACAGAACAAAGGATTTTGGAGTATCAATGGTGATGAGCTCATACTTTTGTGACCAAGCATTTGTGAATCCTTGAAGTCTCCCTACGACATCCCCTTGTAGTTATGGACAATTAGAGTCAAGTCCTTCTTAGCCTATGTTTGGATTATAAGAACCATAAAAAATCTTATGAAAATTAAGTGGGGTTTAACCATGTAATGTTTCTCTGGAATCCTCACGTCCCTATCAAGTTACAATCTGTTAACGACAATAAGTCTATTCAACCATGGGTTTGTGGTTAACCTATTTGTTCTTTTGGGCAACAATTAGAAGTTCTAGATCACAAATATTTTTAACACTCTAATTGGTCAAACCAAGTAAATGACATTTTAAAAGTTAAGACATTCACATGAATCATGCATGCACAAGAAATGTCTAGAGACACACTCAGAGAAAACAATGATTCAACACTAAACATAATCACATATGCATGAAATACAGTTAGATATTGTGCATGAAATGAGAACACATGAATATATTTATTAAGATAAAAAACAAATAATGTAAGAAAAAAAACTACAACCCTCAAACTTGAGTAACCTTCTATTGCTCTCACACCAAGATCTCCTCTCATACAAATACTCAATCTGTCCAAAACCCTCTACGAAAAACGCCCTAAAAGTTCCTCCTAAGGAAAACCCTAAGAGAAGCTTAGAACACTCACAGGACTCCCTAGAAACATAAGGGAACTACCTCCAACTATCTAAGAGTGTCTCTCCTCATTCCAAAAATTATTTTAATAGCTAGGGGCATAAGGGAACTACCTCCAACTATAAAGAGTGTCTCTCTGTTGACCTCACTTTTGGTTGAGGTCTAGAGCATCACAATATGAAAAAAAGAAAGCTTCCAAATCAAATTTTGTGGGCTTGCGCACCCATGCCTGGCTCGGGTGTGCTAGTCTTTGGTGGGGCTCAATGTCGATGCGTTAGCGGATACACCTAAAATATATAGTGTTTTAGACACATTTTTACACATATTTTTGAGATATTGCGCTTTAATGGAAGGTATGTGTGTGTTTTTCTTTTAGGTATAATTAAAAAGGTGAAAAATGCTAAAAGATGTGAAAAAAGATCAAATTTGGAGCAAAAATGCAAAAATGGAGCAAAAGTGTTTTGGCGCCTAAGTGTTAGATCCGGCGTTTAAGCGTCGGTGAAACAAAGAAGGCCGCACCTAAGCGCCAGAGGCCCCACGCTTAAGCTGCAGAGGCAGTTATTTGACAAGTTAATTCATTTTGTCGAATTTTGAAGGGACATTTGAGACACTTATTGGTTAAAGAGAGTGGTTATGACCATTAGAAACAAAAATACGGTTAAAAGGCTCGTGAAAGGAGGAATCCCTTAAAAAATACATCGAATTAGGACAGATTTTGAAGAGATACCAAGGCACCTCTTGGAAAATTATAAAAGAAGGAATTTTAGAGAAAAATAGGGGGAGTCCTGAGAAGTTCTTGAAATAGTTCGCGGAGAAACTTTTGGAGAGATTTTTCGGGCACCACAAATTTACTTTATCCTTTTTGTTTTTAGTTTTATTGTGAGAGTTAAGAGTGTTGCAAGATAGAAGAGATTCAAAGGAACTTCAAGAGTTTGGTGGAGAATTTGAGCTAAGTTTTTATCTTTATTTTTAAACTACTTTTGATTTTAATCGAGACTTATTGTTGGTTTGACAATATTGACCTCATTTTTTTTTTAGGTCTAGCTTTTTCCTCTTCAGTAGCCTAGGGTCTAGCCATAGGACTTTCCTTTTGACTATTCCTAGAGGACTAGAAAAGGAACCCTCACCATTAGAAATTCCAAATTCTTTTTTACTCAACTTGAAGTTCCACATGTTGGTTATAGCCTCTAGCACTTAATAGGTGGGGTCAATATGGAGGAGCTCAAGGGGAGTCCCCCATAGGATGGTCAGACCTTAGGACTAAACTTGGGTGGTCTGGTTCTGGTGGGGCTAACTTG